AAGTATATTTTCAGAAGTAGAGCATGGAACCTCAGTAAAACTTTGTTGGCTAGATCTTAGTCCTATGGCTACATCTAATAACAGAAGAGGCTGGGAAATAGAATCTCGATGTGAACAGGAGAAAGATAAGAGCCTGGAGTTTGGTAATCACTAGCAGTCTCTAACATGGAAGAAATATTGTTGCTTTTTCTTCTTTTTAAAAGCACAGTTAGTTACAAAATTAACACAAACATCTATTCTCTTCAGAAAAAAATAAAAACATTACAAACGAAAGTTAAATTCTCTTTGATCACTACCACATTTTCTTCTAGCCCTCCCTCAGGCATAATTGCAGTAAGAAGTTTATTGTCAATTCTTGCAGATTACTTTCTCTTTAATAAGAGAGAAGCAATCATTCTGGGAAACTAGGTCAAGGAACAGAGGAAGTACCCTGTGTAAAAACAGCAATTACATAGTTCTTAGTACGTGCTACCCACTCTTCTAAGAGCTTGGCGCATAATAACTCCTCTAATCATAACAACAAATCTGTGAAGTGGTTATTGTTATTACCACCTTTACTTTACAGATGAAGAAACTGAGGCACAGGAGGGTTAATATGTTGCTGACGCTCCCAGAATTAATACTGAAATTGCTTTTGCAAACATTGTGAAAGTGAGAAAAACCTGACATAGGAAAATTGTGACAGTAAAAGAGATGTGACCTAACTGATTCTCTCTTGCTTCTAACCCTCAAGCTGCCCTTGTGCATTCCTGGGCATAGGCCAAGCTAGTTTTGGGAGGAATTTAGTTTCTATTTAACTTTGAAACAAAGATGATAACAGCCTCTTCTCAAAACAAACCTCCTCCTTTTTGGGGGACCAGACCACCTTTGTAAAATGAACAAATCAGTCACAAACTATAAATTATGGCTCAGGAGTCACATAGCCAGATGCCACAAGATTCCTTACCTCCCCAGTTGCTCCTATGGATAGCATCACTATTGTAAATCCTAAGATTGGTGTTAGAGGTATTTTTCAGACCCTGTGTTGTGTTGGATCAGCTGGTGCCACCCAGCCCAGTGAACTGGCTCATTTGGTCTTGTGGTACCCACCTAGGAGCTGACTCTGAAGGAGGACAGCTTCAACACCCCATGATTTCACCCCCAGCCCAACCAATCAGCACTCCCCATTCTGTAGCCTTCTGCCTGCCAAACTGTCCTCAAAAAATCCTTAGCCTCTGAATTTTCAGGGGGGCTGATCTGAGTAATAATAAACTCTTGTCCTTCTGCTTAGTTGGCTCTATATTTATTAAACCCTTTCTCTATTGCAAAAACCTGTTCTCAGTACAGTGGCTTTTCAGGGCAGCAGGCAATATGAACCGTTGGGTGCTTGCAATATTCTCTGGATCTGAAATGGAAATGTATGCCATTTCTCTCCAGAGTCTGTGTGCCCGCCACCACCTCTGACAGAAATGATGCAAGATGTGCTTCATTCATGACAAACCTATGAAGACCAGAATCACTGTCCCATTATCAAGAAATAGAAAACTCGACAAAATGTGGAATCATTGTTTTAAGACAAGGGACAATAGGCAGTGCAGGCCTATGATCCCTAAGAGAAGGGAAACAAATGAATCAGGTGTTGCAACTGCTCAGCTACTGGAGGTAATTTTTGTACAGAGAAAAGGGACCCAAACAGAGCCTACTGTGATCATGAGTTTTATGAGACACAGATCAGAGTTTAGGGAGGTTGAGACACATAGAACTGGTGAGGAAAAGTACCAAGAGGACAAAGCTGCCAACAGAAAAGTTTCCAGAAATCTCATAGAAAGTTATGTTAATCTACAAATGTGTAGAGTCAAAAAGTAGTTCTAGGAAATGAACAAGTACTATTGACCTCTAAAGAGAAAACTGCCTAGTGCTCTCACAGGAACAAGAATTGAGAGACACTTTTGGATATATGGGGCTTTCCATGTAGGCCCTCTGAATGGCCAGGCTTATTGGGACCAAACAAGCCAAAAAGAACACCAAAGACCTGCCCTTTAAAAAATTACAAAAAAATAGATTCACAGAGAAAATAGATATTAACATGTTATATATAAACCCAATGATAAGAGATCTTACATTAAACATAAATCAAATTAATATTCCCATTATGAGAATAAAGAAATAAGCTTCTAAAAGATAAGAAACACATCTGTAAGTCACTTTACTACCTACCAGTGCAGAGTCCAAAACTCTTTAAAATAATAAATAAAAGCAAGCATTCAGTAGCATAAAGTTTGCAAAGTCAAGCATACAATCCTGAAATTACTAGACTTGCAAAAAGGAGGAACATGTGATCCATAATAACAAGAAAACACTCAATCTCTCTAAAGAAATAGAGAGGCCAGGCACAGTGGCTCATGCCTGTAATCCCAGCACTTTGGGAGGCTGAGGTGGGCAGATCACAAGGTCAGGAGTTCAAGGCCAGCCTGGCCAACATAGTGAAACCCTGTCTCTACTAAAAATACAAAATAAAATAAAATAAGTAAAATTAGCTGGGTGTGGTGGCAGTTGCCTGTAGTGCCAGCTACTTGGGAAGCTGAGGCAGGAGAATCGCTTGAACCCGGGAGGCGGAGGTTGAAATGAGCTGAGATCACGTCACTGCACTCCAGCCTGGGCAACAGAGGAGACTTTGTCTCAATAAATAAATAAATGAATAAATAATAAAAAAGAAATAGAGAAGTGATGTAGATGATGTAATTAGTAAATAAGAACATTAAAACAGATTTTATAAATATACTCAATATGCTTAAAGACTTATAGGAAAAATCAGTGAGAAGAGGAATGAAAAATACAAAAATGAACAATATTTTGAGTTAAAAATCAGTACATAAAATAAAAATTTCACCGGAAAAAACTAACAGCTAATGAAATACTGTAGGAAAAAAAGATTCTTCAACTTGAAGACATAGCAATAGGAACTATCCAAAATGAAGAAGATAGGGGAAGATAAAGACTGAAAATAAATTAACAGAGACTCAAATTTTCTGGGAAAATAGTAATATAATATAAATTTAATTTGAATTCCAGAAAGAAGAGATAGGTAAAATTATTTGAGGAAATAATAATTTCCAAATTTGATGAAAATTATAAATCAAGGGATGCAAAAAACTCACTAATTTCAAGCAGGATAAAGACAAATTAAAAAATACCAAGGTATATCAAAATCAATTTGCTGAATGAAATAATAAAGAAAAATATTTAAAGCAGCCAGAATACAGCAACAGATTACTATAGAAGAGTAAATATAAGCATAAGAGTAAATTTCCCATCAGAAACTATGCAAGACAGAAAACAAGGGAGGTGACTCTTTAAAATACTGGGGGAAAAAATCCTGTCAATTTAGATATACACAGCTAAAATACCTTACAAAAATTAAGGAGAAATAGACTTTTTCTCCCAGAAATTTTGCAGAAGAGTAATAGCAAAGAGAGTTTGCATCTTTACTGCAAAAAACGTTAAAGCAAATTTCTGTGTCATAAAGAATGTGATACCAGATAGAAATTTGGATCTGTAAAAAAGAAATACTGAACTCCAAAAATAGTTAAAATAAAGTTGGATAGAAAAGGCATTTCTTATTATTGTTATCTGCTTCTACAGATAGATAACTATTAAAAGCAAAAATAGTAGCCATGCATTTTGGGGTTTCAGCATACATAAAAGTAAAATGTATACCCACCGTAACACAAAGTGCAAATTAAAACCACATGGTGACAATATTTTGCACCCACTTGAATGGCTAAAGTAAAAAATACTAATTTAAGAATCAAGCAAAGATGACAAGATGTACAGGATTACCTGTATAGGATTATGTGGGTGTGTTCCATAAGACTTACTTCCAACTCCCAAAGATAGCTGTGATAGGCTGTGTGTTACCACTTACTCTTAGAATAACCTCGGGAAATTTGCATACTAAACCTCTGGTTCCTTGTCAATAGGATAACATAAACTTTCGTGCCTAGCACACCATAAGTACTTAATATGCTTTATCAACTGAGAAAATTTACATTATAAATTCTTGTGAAAATGAATTTATTATTACTTCTTCCCTTATTTTTCTGGCTGCAAAACAAGTCTTACAACTTCTGAACTGAGTCAAGAATGTATTCTATTAGAGAAGAAGCAAATCTGATTTCTTTGTGTTTATTGACGTCTTTCAAAAACAATTTTACATACACATACGAACTTGTGAAATTTGAGGTTCATAATAATCAAATACATATTTTGAGAATCAGAAACATGACTTCAAGGTCAGTTGATTGATTCAACTTTTGAAATCCAGCATTACATTCCACAAAGATTTACAATGGGTTTAGCGTTATATTTTAGTATTTATTTATTAAGCAAGAATTGATAATTAACCATTCTAAAAAATCAGATATATACATAATATTCAGTGTTGACAAAATTTAAAGATACCCATGAGGCTGTAGCTGGTAAAATATAAAATGCAAATGTGAGAACATTTTTGTTTTTTAACATTATTGAGGCACAATTGATATAGAAAAATTGCACATGTTTATGCATTTTGATGAGCTTGAACATATGCATATTTGCTTTGTTTTACTTCGTTTTAAATTTGGTCACGAGGTATACAATGGACTCTTTATTTTCTGAAGCTTCAGGGAGGAAGCGGCAGTCAGATATTGCGGAGTGAAATGTGCACCTTAACAAAGGAGCAAGGCTCCTTCACAACCAATCCTAACTTTTCACTGCCAAGCGTCAGTCTAATATATCATTTATAAAGGCTCATGGTAGAGTTTTTGTAGCTACAAAGGGCCACATTTGGTCAAATGCTTCTGGAATGAACTTCTATTAAGTTTCCAGATGTTTGGGCAATAGCTTTCAAATAACGACAGTTTTTGCTAACTGTAACTTAATTTTGCTAGTCTAGGCATTGGGATGAACTAGTATTCAACTCTTCCAAGCTGCTTCCCCTGTTCTATAAGGTATGAGTGCACTGTCTCTTTCTCTGCCAGGTTTTGCATTTGATGGTTTCCAGGAACTGCAAAGAGTGAGATCATCCCTTAAGCAGTGACTGCCAGAGGAAGGTGAGAGACATATGGTGGCCTTACAGGTATTCTTTCCAAATCTATATTAAGAGATTACACAGAAAATGTCTGCATCTAAATATATGCCTCATGAAATAAAATTCATGAACCTTTTTTATTTCCTCTCATGACCCATGATTGGGATTTTGTCTGAATATCAATAATGCCAAAATAAATATAGAACTGTTAAGATCTCACTGAATTATCCATTATTATAAGGAAATTATAGTAAAGACATTGTGAGTATAGAGACAAAAAAGTAGAACTTATAGGATTAACAATAATAGATATTTTACAGTATTTCATGAGACCAAGAGACAGAGCATAAAGAGTTCATGCAGTCTGTGGGGTTGAAGATCTTTCACTTGTGTTCTTGCACTTTACCTATTATTCTCTTAATCCTGCACACATTGCCTTCTTGTTGAAAAAAAGTCATGATAAAGGACAATCAGAAGTTCTATGGCTGAGAAAGTAAATGAGGAAAATGTGAAAGTTAGGTATGTGAGATTAAATGTGGCCAGCATGATATAGTAGAAGCACACACACACACACACACACAAAACCACCCTACAGTAGAAGGCAAAATTCCTGGTTTCTAACTGTAAGTGTACACTTAAAAATGTTGACATTTAGTTTGGGTTGATTTCTCCTACAAAATAGGAATGATATGTAACAACTTTGAAGCCTACATCATAGGGATTTTGTAAATGACAAATCACATGTTTGTAAATCTACTTTGAAAAGATGAGATATGTATTTCTACAGAGAAATCTCAAGTCTTCTGGAAAGTAAATATTTAAAAAATCTTCTAAAAATCTGTGCCTTAATTACCTCTTTGTGAATGACTCTACCCTCCATCTAATCACGTTAGCCAAAAATATGGGAATCCTGCACCAACTTTTAAAATCCAATTTAGTGGTATTTTGACAGCACCCACACTGAGACTCAGAGATCAACATAATGAGTTAGGCAACGTTGTCTTCCTTAAAGGTTCTCAAGCTATTCTGGACCTACCAGTTTTTTACATTTTGTATCTTATTCATTGACACGAATGGTAAAACACAAGCTGAGCCCATTCCATAAGGTGTTTGTGACTAAAAGTCTAATGAAAAAGAATTTGAACGTGGTCCACTATGAATTTCAGACTTGTTTGATAGGTGATGGGGAGGGGGACAGTGAAAGTTGAATTGAAGACAGAAATAAGAGGATCTGTAAAATAAGTCATGATGAATAAGTTAGAATTTGTGCTATACTGAGAGGCAAGGCCAGAGATGTCAAAGAATCATGGTCACAGTTATAATGTGAAATGTGCTCAATATATTCCTTGCTTGATTGACCTTTTCACTTCTTACAGAAGGCAGAATGTAGACTGAGTAGAACAACAGTGTTCAATGATGCTGATAAAAAATGACAGTAAAAGATAGAAGCTTTGGTTTAATTGATATGCCCTCACCTTTGATTCTTAAAAGGAAAATTACCAGGTTACATTCAATTTACATGTTTAATTGCCATATGTACTCTTATTGAACCTCTGGGTTTGAGTAAGGTATATTTGGGAATAGTATTTAATGAGTCAGCATACAGGTTATGAAGTATTCAGATTTGAAATATTATCATAAATGTTACACATTTGTACTTACTGGCAAGTGAGGATGAGAATTCAGCAATTGCATTTAAGTATCTTTTATACTTGTTCTTGATTTTATCTCTACTAACATTGCTGTAGTTTAGACACTTTTCTCAAATATTTTTCAAAAAATTTGTAACTGATATAACATTCTTCAATCTTGTCCATTCCAAACCATCCTTAACTCTGCTTCCAGAATTGTCTTTAAAACTTAAAAGTCTGATTAGGTTATTACAGTTCCTTAGTACTTTAATTCCTTCAGTGGCATCCAAAGACAAAGAATAAAACAAAATCTATTTTCAAAAGCCATAAACCTGTCTAGCCATGATTCTTACCTCTCTGTCTCATGACTTAAATCAAATGTGGAACATATGTGTGTGTGTGTGTGTGTGTGTGTGTGTGTGTATGTATATATGCAAGTCTGTATATATACATATATGGATATAAATTATACATATATATCTATACATATATAGTCATTTTTCAATTTTTTTCTGAACACCTATTGCATTTTTTGTTAGAAGAACTTACATTTCCATGGTCAGAGATGAATAATAAACAGCAACAGCAAAACAAAACAAAACAAACAGCAATTCATTAAAATAATAAATATGGTAATATGTTCTGAAGAAAATGAAAGAGGATATGAAATAGAGGGACTAAAGTGTGGAGATGGAATAAGCCCTATTTTCGGTAGGCTGGATCTTCCAGAGGAAGTGATATCTGAACTCAGACTTGAAGTAATTCATCGATACAAACAGCTGGGATAAGCAAAGTCTTAAGAAAAGAGAACAACATGTGGGAAGACCTTCAAAACAGTAAAAACTTCAGAGTAGCTGGAAGATAGTCAGGGGTGGGTGGAGAGAATTGGTTTAAGGTAAAATTGAAAAGTCAGTAGGGCCAGGTAGTGTATAATAATAACTTTTAGCAAGAAGAGCAATAACAGTAATGATAACGAATATACAATATGCCAAACACTATTTCAAACAAGCATTTACTAGTTTTATCTTAACAATATCTGTGTGTCAAAGGAACTATTATTAACCACTATTTTGCAAGTGAGGACATGGAACAAAGAGAAAACTAATGGCTTGCCTAAGATCACATAATAAAACTTACAGCTGGTAAATGATAAAATCTGTCACTAACACGGGCAGTCTGACTTTAGAATCTGTAGTTGTAATCATCATTCTACACACTACATGTAGGAACTTAACAGACTAAATAAGTATTTTAATTTCTTCTAAATGCAATGGGAAGCTAATGCAAAGTAGCAAGCAAGGAAGGTAAGATATAATTTACCCTTCAAAAAGATCCCTCTCGCCACTATGTAGGAGAGTTTGTGTGTTTGTTTGAGGGGAGTGTGCTTACAAAAATGAAAACAGAAGGGCCGGTTAAAGGACAAGTGCAGTCATTCAGGCAAAAGATGGTCATGATTTGGACTAAATAGTAGTAGGTAAGCTTATGAGAATTTGTGAAATTCGTATGTATCTTGAAGGTAAAGATAACAGATTTGTTGATCAATGAGAAGAATAGATTGTGAGATTAGACTATTAAGGAAGATTTAATTTTTGCTCACTGAATGTGTAGATGATAATCTCATTAACTAAGATGGGAAATATCAGGTGGCAGGGGAGTAAGTTGGGAAAAGTAGGAAATAAAGGGTCTTTGCTTGGAAAATGTTAAGTTTGTCATGCCCATTGGATATCCAAATGGAGAGTTTAAGCAGATAATTAAAAAAGAATGTTTGGTGCTCAGGGCGAGGTCAGGACTAAATCAATAAATTTGTGCATCATCAGTATATGGATAAAATTTAGGCCGGGAGCGGTGGCTCACGTCTGTAATCCCAGCACTTCGGGAGGCCGAGGCGGGCGGATCACGATTTCGGGAGATCAAGACCATCTGACCAGCACGGTGAAACCCTGTCTCTACTGAAATACAAAAAAATTAGCCGGGCGTGGTAGCGGGCGCCTGTAGTCCCAGCTGCTCTGAGGTTGAGGCAGGTGAATGGTGTGAACCTGGGAGGCGGAGCTTGAAGTGAACTGAGATCGCGCAACTGCACTCCAGCCTGGGCGACACAGCGAAACTCAGTCTCAAAAAAGCAAAAAACAAACAAACAAAATGTAAAGCTTTTTAAAGCTAAGGGGCTGAATGAGTTCATCACCTTGGAAAATGGTAGTCATTCTGATTTACTTGTTACATCTCAAACATTCCATGTTTTCTCATGCCTCCATCATTACAGGCAGTTAGGTAATAATTTTCTCTGAAAAATACAGCTAATCTTTCACATCTTTCCTAAGTCTACCCTCTGTAGTAAAACTTTTCCTGATGACTTGTAAAAAGTTTGGGAGTGATTAAAACATTTATTCCAACCATCCATTAATCCATTCAACTAGTGGATGTTGGATAGCTAATCTATGCTACGGAGTTTTCTGAACAATTGGGGTTGCCATGGTAAATACAAAATACTGTATCTCTATCTTTTGGAATTGTTTGCCTGCATGCATCTTCTAGAGCCATATTTCTCTAATGTTGAGTTGTAACATAGTGGGCCATTAAAACAATTTCCTAATGTTTAGCTTGAAGAAAAGAGATAGAAAAAATAAAATAGAGGATATCAGAGTATATCACGCATAACAATAGCAAATAATGCTTTGTGAATTATTTTTTCTCCTGATACAGGTATCTACTATATTGAAACAATGTTTTTTGTTTTGTTTTGTTTTGTTTTTGTTTTTTCTTATGGAGAGCGTTCAAAAATGTTGGAAAGACATTGTAGGAAACCACTTACCACTTTATAAGTCTCTCTCTCTCCATTTGACTGAACTCTGTAGCGGAAAGAGCCCAATCTTTTTACAACCTTATTACATTTGAATTCTCAGCACATAGCTCCTGATGTGGATCAGGTAAGCAAGAAATGTTTGTGGGAAAAGATGGTGGGAGGGAGAGAAATCACAGAAAGTGGGGCATTACAAGCAAGCAGCACTTAGTACCACTGAAAGTTGGCCTTTGGGGAGTCATGAGTGATTAACCAAGCATTGGGGTTCTCTGCATTGTGATGGGAGGGTAAGTACAGGGCAACTCCAGAAATAGATAGATTTTGCAATTGCTGTACCACAGAATGAAATAACACCTACACATCAAATCAAAGTCTTTTTAATATCTGGTCCTGTATTGGTTGTTATAAAAAACTGACCTTTGTTTTATAATACCAATTCCATTTGGTTTGAAAAATAAATAAATATTAAATCATTGTAGTAACGATTGCTTGATCTCTAATTTATTGAGTTAAAATTTTATCCTCTGTGCCAATGTGCATCTCTGATTTGTAGATAACTTCTTTATTCTTGGTAATAATTAACAGCCTTAGGAGAAAGAAGTCTGTGCTTAAATGAAATGCTTGATCTCAGAAAATGGAAAGAATTTAAAGATTCTGATACTTTATGACAAAGACATTTTACTGCCAGGAAAAATGGTAAAAAGCTTTTACTTTGATTTAGTTCTTGTTTTTCAATTCTTCAATTAAATTCAAATTTTATATAATAGACCATAAATATCCATTTTTTAATTTAATCTTTTTTACATAAAATATTTATTTCCTATGTCTTTGAACTGGAATTGAATTTGTGTTTTAATTTAAAATACCATCATGACCATAATCTGAACATGTAGAAAAATATTTCTTGATCTCTTTGTTTAGCTTACTATTTTATTAATAACTTTTCTAAATAAAATGTTCTCATTTTTACAAGTTTCTCAAAACAGAAGAGTAGAATTTTAAAAGCTCTGAATATAAGAGGGCTTTGTTAATGTTTTGATTAAGGAAGGAAAGAGAGAAGAAATAAAAAAAGGAAAAAAAGAGGGTAAGAAAGAAAGGAAACTGAAGAAAGGATTTAGGGGAAGAGCAATGGAAAAAACATATTTAACATCTACCTCTTGCTATAAGGTTAGATTCCCACGTCTTCCAACTTTCCCTCCCTTTTTTCTTTCAGATTATGGTCATAATGGTATTTTAAACCAAACAACATTAATAATAATAACAAAGTTTTACCTGGAAACAGAAATAGAAAACACCATAAAAAAGCATGGTCCTGCAGCCACACAGTTCAATCCTATGAAGGTATTCAAATTAAATTCTAGAGTATCAAAACCTTTTAAAATCAAATTATAGAACAAACTACTCTTTTAAAAACAGATTGGTCCAGGCGTGGTGACTAATGCCTGCAATCCCAGCACTTTGGGAGTCCGAGGCCAGTAGATCACAGCTCAGGAGATTGAGACCCATCCTGGCCAACACGGTGAAACCTCATCTCTACTAAAATACAAAAAATTAGCAGAGAGTGGTGGCACGTGCCTGTAGTCCCAGCTACTTGGGAGGCTGAGGCAAGGGAATTGCTTGAACTCGGAAGGTGGAGGTTGCAGTGAGCCGAGATCGCACCACTGCACTCCAGCCTGGCGACAGAGCAAGACTCTGTCTCAAAAAAACAAACAAACAACAACAAAACAAAAAACAAACAAAAACAATTAAAAAACAAAACAAAACTGATTATAGGTAGCCACATGCCCAGCAGCGGTGACAATGTGGCATATACTTGCAGTGAAGTGCAACTGTGCTGGGGAAGGAAAATTGTATTTTCATATATTGTTTCTAAGAAGAACATTATTTTCTTTTGGCCCAAAACCCTCAAGGCAGGAAGGGAAACGAAGTGAACTGCATGCCGAGATGAAGTATGAATGGGAAGTTGCAGACAAATAAAAATCAAGGTGAACTCCCCCTTTCCACTCTCCCTCCCCACACACATTTTCTATATGGTTACTAAAATCATAACATGTTTGGCACACTGATTAGCACGTGGTAGCACTCAGTGAATGTTAGATATTATACTAAATGGATTGAAATTGATGGAGTTGAGGCAACACCCTTGAAGAGATACATAAATGTGGGAAGCTGAACAATAGTCTCCAAAACATCCACATCCTAATCCCTGTTATCTGGCAAAGGGAAATTAAGGTTCCACATGGAATTATAGCTGCTAATCTGCTTTTTATTTTCAATGAAGAGAATATCTTACATCATCCACGTAGGCCCAGTGTAATCACAAGGGTTCTTAAAAGTGGAAGAGCGAAGCAGAAGAGAAGGTCAAGGTGACGTGATGTGAAAAAGACTTAATGCACTTTTACTTACTTGGAAGTTGGAGAAAATGGCTGGGAGTTGAGGAATGAGAGCCTGATCTGGAAGCTGGAAAAGGCCAGTGAATGGATGGATTCTCTTATAGAGACTCCAAAAAGCAATAGAGCCCTGCTGAAACCCTGTTTGCAGCCCGTTAGCACCTGTACCAGACTTTTGACATACAGAACTATAGGATAACACACTCCATGTGAATTTAAGCTACTGACT